TGAAGAATTAAGAGAGCTCTGAAGGGGGTCCAACCCAGTACCCAATAAAGTGTCCGATAGTATCAAATGTGAGTAGATAAAGAAAATTCTGGCACTCTGAGGAATAAAAACAACCCTTCACTACACTTAATAAAGGGCAAGAAGACAGACTCATTAAAGCAATAAACCGTTATCAGCACAGATGAGGGCTGGTGGGTTTTTTCTTTTCTATATTCCTCAAGAATTGGCACTCTATATGTCCTTTAAAATGTTGTAGTTAAGCTCTCTATTACTTTGTATTGTATTACTTTGTATGATACATAAGAACCAATAGTTTTAACTGAGTGTAGCGCTGGAAGCAAGCCAGAGTACTTGGAATAAAAGGACTCTCAACAGGCCTGTTAAGTAGGAATGTATTCATTTCTACTAGTGCAATGAACATAGACCTAATTAATATACAGTTGTGTGTAGAAACCCCACATTTCCACAGTGCAAACAAAGCCTTAATAAGAAATGCTCAGACTCTGAATGCACAAACGTGGCCGCTCCATGATTAGAATATAAGGACATGACACAAAGGACAAGCATCTTGCGTGTGAGGCATAATGAAAATAAAATGTTGATATGAATTTTTCATGGAGGGACCTGTGACAATTGCCTACGTGTGCACTTTCCGACTCCTATACATTATTCAAAGAGAGTTTATTTTTGAGTTTCACTCCAGAAAAAGTAGAATCCAGTATAATTTGTGAATAAAATAATGATATAATTACATATGAATAAGTCAAAGATTTTTTTAAAAAGTCTTTTTTTTTTTTGGTCACAGGAATCCAAAACATGAGTTGAGATGCTCTTTGTGGCTCTTGGTTAGCGTCTCTTAAAGCTCACAGAGATGAACATAGATTACAGCTGAGTATACAGGGGATATCTGCTCAATGGATTAATGGATCTTAAATCTTTAGATATTTGGAGAAGATTTACCATGCGAGAAAAGCTTAAATTATTCTGTTTTGTAAACCAGAAGAGAGCAGATGTGAGCTTTCAGCAACTGAACATGAAAAAAAGAAAACGCTTAAAAAAATGCATAATAAACCTGAAAGGAATGATGGTAATTATCATTAAACATTGATGTTTATAATTTTTTTAATGCCACATCTCTACCAGCAAATTCACTCATATTAAATAACTTTAATTATCCAATGGATCTGCCTGTAGTTATAGTTTTCTTGCTGCAAAAAGTAGAGAGATGACAATTTATGTGAAAGAAAAGAGAGAATCTCCAATTCTGTTACAGTCTCACACTGACACTTCTGCCATCTCCACTGTTCCCACCATCTGTATTTCTGTGGAAACACAGGAAAGGTAATTTTTAGCCAGAACTTTTGGCAAAGATAGAAATGTTTAATTAGCGGCGCACAACAGATGCAGCCGTGACACGAGAGAGAGACTGCACCGCTTCTCAATTTATGAATGTTTTCTGCTGGTTAGTAGCAAGTGTTACGTGCAACATTTATTTGGTCTTGAGCTTCATAAAAGGTGTCCATAAATGTGTATGTATATCCAGTCATCATCTAGGTAGCTCATTGTTCCATAGCAGCAATACAAAGAGAGCTTTCTTGACTGAACTTGAACGTTTTGAATACACAGTGGGTCTTTTTTGGACAAATCTTTTGCTCTGGCTTCAGTCGTAATCACGGAGGTCACCATATTAAAAGGTGTTAAAAGCTACTGCCCTATTCTCATTTTGACAAAACATAAATTATAGTAATGCTTTATCTAAGTGCAGCATTTGATACTATGGATAATAAAATAATTTTTGGCAGACTTGTAAATGAGGTGTTTTCTGGTTTAATCCTCAGAGCACATCTTTCAGGTATGAGATACATTGTAGCCATTTATATTTTAAAAAAATCTGATTTATATCAATTTCAATTCAACTCAGTTTTATTGCTATAGAACCAAATGACAGCAACAGTTGCCATAATGTGCTTTATGTTCTAAGGTCAAGAGCCTGCAATAATATAGAAAAATCCCAGCAATCAGATGACTGTCTATGAGCAAGCATCACATCACATATCAGAATGTGACCGGGACATGTGGAGTCCCACAGGGTTCGATTCTCGGGCCACTACTTTTTATTCGACACTCTCCGGCAACCTAATTATTTACTTACTTATCACCTGCACAACTCCTGTGTAACACAAACTTATAATCAGCCAATCACATGGCAGGAACTCAGTGCATGTAGGCATATTCAAGACAGCCTGCTGAAGTTCGAACTGAGTGTCAAAATGGGGAAGAAAGGTGACTTACGGTAAGTAACTTTGAATGTAGCACTAGTGTTGGTGCCAACGATGCTAGTTTGAATATTTCAGAAACTGCTGATCTACTGACATGTTCTTGCTCAGAACAGTACCTCTGAACATACAATATATCAAACCTTAAGGTAGATGGGCTAGAGTAGAAGGAAACTGAGGCTACAATTCACACAACTTCACCAAAATTGGACAAGAGAAAACTGAAAAAACCTTGCCTGATCTGATGAGTCTCGACTTCTGCTGCGACATTCAGGTGGTTGGGTCAGAGGGTGGTGTAAACAACATGAAAGCATGTATCCATTCTGCCTTGTATCAACAGTTCAGGCCATGTTCAGGTAATGTAGTGGTGTGAGGGGTATTTTGGGACCCTTAGCACCAACTTAGCATCATTTAAACACCACAGCCTACCTGAGCATTGTTGCTGACCTTGTCCACCTGTTTATGACCACAGTGTACCCATCATTTGGTGGATGCTTCCAGCTGGATAACACACGATGTCACATAGTTTTTGTAGTTGTTGTTGTTTTTTTAAGCTATTTAAGGTGCACTAAAAATACTCGGGTCTTTCAGCACCCATAAGCACTATAGACCCATAAACTTAAATGAGAGTCAGAGTTAGTTAATGACATAAATTATTGTATTTTTCTCACTTTGACTGCAAAGACAAAAGTCCAAGTTACATATTTTGGCGATTTAGGGCCAAGCAACATCATATTGATAACCAAATCAATATGCTTTAGAGGGATTTTCTCCAGTCTCCCTAAAATATCTTTAGATATCTACAGCTCTGTCAGAAAGCTGCTGCAAGAGCTGTAACAAGAATCAAGAGAACTGAGCACAATACTGATGTTTACACTGACTCCCAGTGAAGACATTGAGAGAGCTGCTACTTGTTTATAGGTCACTCAATAATCTCAGGCATACATACAATTCAGACAATCCCTAGACGAATTTATACCCAGGAGGACACACAGATCTTTAAGAAGCAGTCAGCTGGTATAACCTAAAGACACATCAGAACACACTAAAGATGCTTTCAACCACTTCCTCCACAGATGGATCCATCTTTCTGATAATCAGTGATTAATACAAACCAACTTCAGTTCTATTATCTGCATGTTCAGTTCCATTAGTGCGCTTTTATTTATTTTGGTTAGCATTTGAATCACCTCTCATTTATATTTATTGTATTCTATTTGAATCACCTATATGTTATTGCTAAAAATTGATTCTGTTTTGAATGTGGTCATGAGATTATGATCTCTTGCATCATCATGCTGATATTTTCTGTTTTCAGGCCTTTTTTCTTCTTAAAATATCAGAAAAAAAGATAACCCATAGAAACAAGCTAGCAAAATGTTAGTCCAGGATCAGTCCAAGAACAAATTAACCACTTAATGTCTATGAAAACGCTAAACATGAATGTGCAACTTCACTAAATGTTTTAGCACATTTATTTATATTTTTATGCTGTACATTAATTTGACATTTGGTGGCGGCCCCCTGCAAAGTTTAAAAATGGCATGGCACATAATCTTAGGCTTCAAAAACACTGCCAGTGGGGCTACAGTTCGGTTACAGTTGTAACAGTTACAGTGGTACAAAAACTGCTAGAACCATAAAAGCAACTACAAATAAATAAAGGTACCTAACACTTTGGCCTGTGTGCCACAGCCAGCTAATATTGTATCGTACTTCTATTTAAAACCATTACCGACTTGTGCACACCAAATCAGCTTTTTGTGCACCAACATGTATGATTGTATTGGCAGTGCTGTACATATCTAGGAGTAATGTTGTCCTGTAAGGCCACGATTCCCTGGAGCCCCCTGGTGGACTGCCATGGTGCTGCAGGTGGGGAGCAATAATAACGAACATTTAGCTTTGACATTACATTTATATAAATATGTAACTGTAGTATTTATTTCTATAAAACTGAATTACAACTGGTAAGAGGAGGTGGCTAATTTGTGATATTACTCATTACACACATTGTCCAAAAAACTTTGCATATGACTGCGTAGAATTAGCAGCCTTTGCTGTTTTGTTTTGTTTTTTTAAAAAATAAATTTATCCAAAAAATATATTACTTTCACTTGTATTTTGATTAGAGAAAGATTTATTATTGGTTGGTATTATGGGATTTTCTATTTTTTAAGTGGCCCGCAGCACTATTGACTTTGGGAATGGCCGCTGTAAGGTAGCAGCAGGCTCCTGCCTGTAAAAGTAAAAGTATAGTTGCAAATTCTTTGGCAAGGCTTTAGCTGGAAAAAAAGACATTGCATAAGCATTTGGAAATGTTTCCAGAAACTTCTGAGTTTGATAGCGGAACATATTTACGTAACTTTCTCTAGCTTTCAAACAGTGGTATATAAATCTTAATTTGTAGTGCTTGGGTCAGCGCCATGGCCAGCTGAGGTTTGCGTGACCTTTGCAGTCTCCTGCACCTGTTTTGCACATACCCATGTGCATCACCATCTCCATATATATACAAGTTCAAAAGCTCAGGTCAAACTGTGATCATCGCTCATGAAAGCAACTTGTTCTCTTTTCATTAATACTGTGTAGTCTTTCAGAAATGTTGATGAGTGAGTATAGGGGTGGGATTTAATAAGTTTTCTTCGTCCCACTCCTTTTTCAGGCAATTTTTGTTTTTTGTTTTGTGCATTTTATGTTCAATATAGGTATTTGTTGTGCCTGAAAATGAACAAATAAATGAATGAATGAATGAAATGATCATGATACTTTATGTAATTTCCCCCTCATGTCTCCTCCTGTCAGTCATTGTTCTTGTTAGTGCGACCAGTCTTGTTCAGGACAGAGTTGAGTTCATTCAGCAGATTTGGAGGGAGTATAGCTTCCCCACCCAGAGCAGGTCTTTTATTGACCGTCTTACAGCCGCTTTGAGGGAGAACAGGCAAAGGCATGGGTTGCATGTGTCTGGAAGAAGATGGTGACGGGAGCCGTAGAGGCAGGCAAACATCCACTGAAGTTCTTCTGCTTGGGATTGCTGGGGGTTTGAATGGTTCGTTGGACTTTGGAGCACCTATGGTGTTGGACTTTGGAACAGCTATGGGGTTGGATTTTGGAGCACCCATGGTACTGGACTTTGGAGCACCTATGGTGTTGGACTTGAAGTGGGGACTAGGATCCTTGGCGGGCCTCCATTCTCCATCTCCAAGAGCTCCAAGAGAAACCCTCCTTTCGGTTGTCTATAGGTAAACATGGCAGATATAGATGTAGTGAAATCACAGACTCTTCAATCTTATAATAACTCATAGCATGATGCATGATGACAAGAATAAAACTAAAGCTAAATAAAAAGCTAAAGCTAAATAAAACTAAAGTTTTTCACAGTCTATCAGATAGGCCCGTGTTGGTGTTGTTTCTGTATCATCATAATAATGTTGGTCCAGGATGAACATGACAACTGACCAATCATGTTAATCTGATATCTTAGGGATGTGGTGTTATTAGGTGTATGGTGACTGGTCTGCAGGAATACTGATCCTGGACTAATATTTTTACTCTGATGTAGGAGCAACACCAACACAAGGATATGAGATTGTGTGTCTTCTGCTCTGTGGCAGGTGGTGTGAGCTCCAGACTACCTGTGACCATGAACTAAGCAGTAAAAGAAAAATGGAAGCATGGTCTGATGGCAAACATAGTCATATTTTGAAACTCTTGAAAAACTAATAATAATACTAATATTAATATTGATCGATTACTTTCCAACCTAACCATGGCAGCAAATAAGAGCTATAAAGAAAAAAACATCAGTTCTCAGCCTCCTAGTAGATACACCTATGGTATAAATGTGAAAATCCAACGTAACTTCTTTTGTGAGTTATTACATTCACAAGATTTTCAGAAAACATGACCTCTGACCTTGGGATCAGGGTCAGAGGACCTTGAGGTCGATGTTACAGAGATTTGAAGTCATCTGAGTTTTTTAGTAGATGCACCTTTGGTATCAATTTGAAAATCCTACATTCCCTCATTCTTGTGTTCACAAAGCCGCGCTGCCAACCACAACAATACCCCCCATCAGCCTTTTATGGCTGAGGGGTAAAAAAAACATTGAGTTCCTCACCTGTTTGCTAGAGTTGAGGTTCTGAGGCAGCACCTTGCTCCCTTCGGTTAGAGCTCCACCTCTGGTCGATTTGTGATCTGCCATTTCTTTTGAGTTGGTGGATGCATGAAGGTCAGAACCATACTAAAGGCACAAGGCAGACATCATGAAAACAGGTTATATATCATTTAAAACAACATTATTTTCATTTATTGTCTTTGTATGCTCTGTAAGGTCCAGCTCTGCATGTATGAGACCTGTGCAGTAAAATGGAGTAGATGAGGAATAACATGAATGAATAGACTAATGATGACTCCAAGACGCACTAAAAACTGGATGTCTGCCCTTGACTGTGTGAGAATGAAGGAAGGAAAGAAAAGAGAAACGGAACTGTCAGCAACAATATTTGTTTTTGAAAGTATGAATAATTAATAAAAAGCATGATATTGCTCCTTAGTCTAAAATATCTACGTGCCGGTTCAGTTTTCAGTCAGATTGAGACAAGCATCCTTAATAATGAGGGGAAGTCAAAGAATGATGATACTCTGTTCCAGTACAGCTGTCTGGCTGCGCTCTGATCTCCAGCTAAACTTTCTCTTTAACAATGTCCCCTTTTAAATCACCGTGACCCCCCCCCCCCTCCCCCAACGTGTAAAACCGTCTCTCTTAAACAAATCCTTATTTCATCAATGCCAGGACCTGTCCTTGGACCTTTACACCCTCCCCCAACTCTCGAACACCCGCCATCACCCATTCTACCTTGCTTCAGAATGAGGTCCTCCATCGCCAGTTGCTATGGAAACTGTTGGAGCACAATGCTCGCTAACAGGTAAGGTAAGGGAAATCAAGAACAAGTGCTTTCCGTCGACTTTCTCATCTGCACTTTCTCTCTGCCCTTCCCACAAGTCCCGCGTCCTTCCCTCAAGCCTCGGCGTTGGAAGCTGACAATCCTGATATTTAGCAGATTTGGGAAGAGAATTCTAATATTTTTAGCCGGCTCCGGTCTGCTATAGATTTAGTTGTTGCAGAGCAAAGAGCTTCTGCAAAGAGCGAGGAGGAGGGGGAAAGTCCACTGAAATAAACACCTTGAAACACTTAGAAACAACAGACAAAAATTGCCTTCCCCTTTAGATCAATCTCTCCCCGACAGTGTTGCCCTTTTTACTTTCTAACCCAAACTAAGGCACTAAAAGGCTTTTACAGTAAGCACCTGTGATAAACAACACTTTGCTGCAGACGGGTTCCCATAAAGGGAGACAGCCAGAGTGCTAATACAGATGAAATGTGCTGAGCATACAATACAGAGCTGGCAAATCTTCCTTCGATCTTTCAGTTAAGGACGAGTGTGAAGTTCAACTTTGGTCTTTTACTTGAAAATGAGCAAAAAATAGACACCAGTGTTGAGTCTAATGAGAAAATAAGACGCCGTTTCTCATGGAGGGGGGCAGAAATGACTGCGAGAGTGAAAATTAATACAGGATTATGACACGTGCGTAGCTGTTCTCCCCTTGGTTTGCTTTGCCCTGCATTATTTATGTCATATGTGCTGTGTCAGCGACTGACAGCGACAACACTTAGCTCTATCTGCAGGCTAAGTACCACAATGTGATTGTTACAGTCGCCTTGACCTTATTCTCACAGCTTTTCCACATAAAGTGATTTATGTTATTGCTGAGTGACCTCGAAAACTTTACAGTTCTCTCCCCTGTTTATGTATTTTTGTCTGCCTCACCGTACAATGGAAAAGGATGATTGGGAGAAAAACATATGATTTATCATATCTCCTTGTTCTGAGATATGGATTGTAAAAAAAAAGATGATTTATTCTGTCTGTATTTGAGGGTATTTTTCATCCAAATATGGAAGAGAAAAGGAGGAGGATATGTCCACAGCGTGCATGTCACATTCACTGATATTTTTGGCTCACGACACCACAATAAAAGGCTTAAAGAGGGATGCACATAGTTCTCCTGCAGTCCTGCAGCTACGCTGCACACTTCAGCGTCTACTCATTAAATTGCCTTATCGAGCGTCTGCATGAGAGAATTCCTCGCTCCTGTTTTAACTTCCTCTCTAGTTGCGCGTCATCTTACCTTCATCCTGATGATGTCTGTCACCCAGTTGACCTGCGTCTCCCTCTTGTCGCAGCAGAAATGCCTGAGGAGGAGAAAGCTTGGTCACATCAGTCGCTGATTTCCACCTCATTATTTTCACACCCATTTTAATCAGGTAGCTGGACTTGGTGAGTCACAGCAGTGGACACAGTTTCTTCTGAGGGGATCACCGAATAAAAAAATAAATAAAAGACTGCGCCATAGCTGCACCTTTGATTCTGTAAATCTGCATTAATAAAGTCTATATAAGCAGCAACGATTAGTTTTGTGAGAAATAATCTTGTATGAAGGTTTAAAGTAATACCTGGCATGCACTGTACTCCAGGTTTGCTATTATTAAAAGAGAAATAAAACATACAGTACTGTGAAAAACTGGTTTCTCAGTTTTTGCATATTTGTCACACTTACATGTTTCAGATCATCAATCAAAACTTAACATTGGACAAACATAACCAGAGTAAACACAAACATCTTTAAAAGGTTAAAAGGTTAAAAGTTATCCAACCCTACCCGGCCCTTTGTGTGAAAACATAATTGCCCCCTAAGCCTAATAACTGGTTGTGCAAGAACTGCAATCAAGTGTTTGTGATAACTGACACTGAGTCTTTTACATCACTGTGGAGGAATTCTGGCCCACTCATCATTACAGAATTGCTTTGAGTCACATTGGTGGATTTTCGACCATGAACGGCCTGTTTTAGGTCAGGCCAAAGCATCTCAATCTGATTTGAGTCCAGACTTTGAGGTTTGGAGCGGTCTAGTCAATGTTTCTTTGACCCATTCAGAGTCGTCCTGAAGCAGCAAAGCAGCCCCAGACCGTGTCACACTACCACCACCATGTTTGACTGCTGTATGGTGAGTTTTTTTCTAAAATGCTGTGTTAGTTTTATTCCACATGTAACAGGACTCAGCCCCTCCAAAAAGTTCACCTTTTGTCTCATCAGTCCACAGAATATTTTACCAAAAGTCTCTGAGATCATCAAGAGGGTTTTTTGGTAAATGTGAAACAAGCCTTTGAGTTCTTTTTGGTCACCAATGATTTTCTCCTTGTTCTCTCCCATGGATGCCATTTTTGCCCAATCGCTTTTCTTATTGATGAATCATGAACTCTGACCTCAGCAGGTCTGACAATAGTCAGCCGTGGGTGTGGCTACTGAAACTGAACTCAGCTTTCCTAAAAATGTCGTAATCCCAATAAATTAACGATTTAACAAGCTCCGTTGGTATTATGGGGCCTTACCCCCTGCCCCTAAAAACGGAACTCTTTATTTAAAAACTGAATTTAGTACTTACTCTGGTTACCTTTTGCGAATGTTTAATGATATGAAACAAATAAGGGTGACAAATATGCAAAAAACAAAGACAATCAGGAATGGAGAAAATACTTTTTCACAGCACTGTAACAAAGTCATGTGGCCACACATATATAGGACGTTACTCTGGGCATTCAACTGCTGCATTCACGCTGATAAAACTACAGCAGAAAGTTTTGTGAGGGACTAATTAACATGAAGGTTAAAGCAGAAGTGTGTGTTTCACCACATCCACAGATAAAATTAACATCAAATAAAATTCACTGAATTAATGTGCAATCACTGTAATTTTGTATCTTCTGCAGGACTGTAATATAATATTTGAATTATTTTGACTATAGCTTGGCTGAATACTCGATTATGTGAAAATCCATATTCCCCATATAATGAAGGCTTTAAATTCAACATATAATCAGCACTGGGTAATAATCACTCGTACCTAAACCTTAACTTATAGCTCGTGGATGGAAGTGCACCAACAAAAACTCTGAAACTGGGGATTTCTGAAGCACACACCCATATCAGGTTACTAACAACTCACTTTTAATCATTACTTCATGTTCATATTTTCGATTCTAGGACATCAAACGTGCACTTTTTTTGTCTAAATGTGATGGACCTTTGTCGAATGTTTCAAAGAACCGCTCGTTTTCTCCTTTACTTGCTAAAAGACCTACTGGCATGTAAGCTAGTCAAAGTTAGTCAAATAAAAATGTGAAAAATTATGTTTTTTGTAGCAATAACGAATTAATTTTCTTACGTTCTTCCACTACTGAAAGCAGTACCAATAACACTGGAGTGTATCGATGCCCCAGTTAAGACCTGAAGCCTGTTTAACACCAGGTTTTCGGTAAACATCCCTAGCCCCATGTCTACTGATTCTACATGTTAATACCTGCTTACAGAGATGAGTTTGACAGACAGCTATGAAAAGATGAACTAGAAGCTAGCACATTGACTTAATGTTACTGGTAGTTGCTAACAGTTAGAGGACATTACTCGTTTCATGTCTCTTTTTTGTGATCAGGATAATTATGCTTCATTTCCTCACCGAGGTTTTAAACGCTGACATGCTTTGACATTAAGGGAATGAAGAACACTTGCTTAAATCTTTCAGGAGCTTATAGGGTCACCTGAACTTGCAGGCATCACATCACAGGTATTAAAAAAATGTAAAAAAATCTGATGAAATTAATAAATGAAGTGTGATTCTAACTATTAGATTCTTTCTGTTTTGGAGAGAGTTTAAAGCAGAAAAGGGTCAAACGTACAACCACGACTCATAGAACGTCAGTGTGTTACTCACAATTGTTGCTTATCAGTGCAGATGGTGAAGCCCCAGCTGTGAAAAGAGGGAAGAGACAGTTCAGACTTGGAAATTGGGATTCTGCAAGTCTAAATTTGCAATTTCCTGCATACTGGTATAATTCAAAAACAGGGTTCACAAGTTTCTCTAAAAGAAACGGTGAACGTTCAAAAATCCCACTTCACATAAACAACTTTAAACAACTTGAGAAAGTACTGTAAAGATAGTAGAAGGTCAAAACCTTTTCACGAACATCCAAAGAGGAAAGAGAGTTCCCAGCAAACACTGGGTGCCAAACAGTGGAATTAATTAAGCTAATTAGTGCAGTTTCAGCCCACATGTTTATGCATGAGCAGACATCAATATGCTCTGGGCCAAACTGTACAATACACAGAGCACACGCTGTTCACCTATAAGCCTTAAAGTATATTTTGTTAGGAGGGCTGCAAAAGACAGAACTTCTGACATGCTGGAGCGGTGAGCGAATCTGCTGGGGGTAAAAACAGATGATCGCATGAACACGGTTTACTGCGCCAAGCTGCGGTATTAGCTAAAAGGAACGACCCTCTTCCCACACGCCACCATTTCCATGCACTCAAAAGCCTATCGATACACGGACACGTGTGCGCTTCGGTGTAAATTAACCTGCACGGGGGTAACATAAGGTGAAAAGACCACCTTCCTAGAGAATGGGCTTTCCTCAAAAACCTTTGCAGCAGCAGCTGAAAAGAAGCAGAAAAGTAGGGAGAAGAACAAAGCGAAGAGAGAGAGAGGGGTTGGAGAGAGCCAGCAGCCTGGAGCACCACTCCTGTGAGTGAGGGCAGCAGATCCAGCCCAGCAGTAGGCCGCTCACAAATAGACCTCAACCTAATGAGGTACTGGAGCGCTGCCTCTTCCTAACCCTCTCACTACGACTCTCTCCATTCTCCTCAGCACTCTGTCTTTATTTCTTTATTCGCTGTATGACTTCTCCCACAGCCCACTCAACAGTATATGATACCAGCCTGCATCTTTCTGCATCTGTCCCTCTTTTCCCTCATCTCTCCGTCTCCCACTCCTGCTCTCTTATCCGGGTTTCCTCGCCCTGAAGGACTTCGTAATGCAGACAATCGTTGTCTGGGGTCATTTCTCACTTTTTTTTTGTTCGACTCGACAGTCCGACACGGGGAAAATTATGAGGAATTATAATCGCGCGATGTGAAATATAGAATAAATGTCCTCTTTGTTTGACCAACAAGAAATGCTGCGGCGCTGGCATGTGTCATCAATTCCAATAACAGAGGATCATTAAAGTAAAACAGTGGCGGCAATGTTTTTCTACTTGCGGGAACCGAGTTTAATAATTTGTATTTGTTAAAACGCAATTACATTTAATCAATTTCATTACAGTGAAAAATAAGATGGGGTCAGGAGGGTCTTGGGCATGGATGTCAAACATAAGGCCTGAGGGCCAGAAATGGCCTGGGAACGACTCTAATCCGGCCCCACTGGATGCATTTGGAAAATGTAAAGCTAGGCATAAATGTTTTTACTTTTAGTTAGAAGTGTTGCAGCTTTTCATACTAACAAAGACCTCTCGTAATAGATAAACAATTAAATTGTTTTTCACAATCGGTCCACAGAAATAAGGACATTTTCTACGAATTAACAGAAGCTTTCTGTTTTATAATAACAGGACCATCTGGGCATTGAGCTGCCAGGATTTAGTCCTGTAATTTTACACATTTACTTCTTACAATTTAAGACTGAAAGATTTCAGATTACAGCAGCATTTCTTTATCATGTGGAAAAACTGTGAAGTACTGTTGAAATTGTCCTTGTTCACATATTAAAATATGTCAGAGACTAATGTGTAGTTAAACTTCTTTACACTGACAGAAAGGAGAGTTTCACTGGTCCCATTTAAGATTAAAGTGAGGTGTATGTGACCCACGATGTAAAATCAGTTTGACATCCCTGATTTTAGGGGAGGGGTGGGTGGCAAAACTTTGAGGGTCGAGGAAGGGAAAGAGGAAATACAGCGTCACTTCCAAGAGGACTGATTTGGTAAGAATGTACACATGTGTGGAGGGAGGAAGAGGACTCAAATGCCGACACTTGGAATTAAACTATAATTTTAAAAAATGTGAGACGTTTATTTGTGGCTTGGAAATACAAAATGGCACAAAAACGCAGATGCACACTGACGGGAAACTAACTAGAACTGGGAAAAACTAAATGCTAAACACAAAAGACAAAGAACAAAACCTTGAACATGATTACAAATCTGAACATGGAAAAACCTGCAAACATAGAGGCATGGAAAAATGACAAGAACTCAACAAATGACTTGACAAGGACTAAATGAAAACGCACAGACTAAATGCGCATAGGAGGTGATCAGGGGAAGTGGAAATACATGGGGAAACAGCTGATTAGAGTCAACATAATACCCAATGAACATGTGACACCAGACCTCTTCAAAATAAAACAGGAAACATAATGAGACGCAGAAACACATGAAGGGCGAGGGAGACTTAAACACAGGGGTGAAGACACAAGGGGATTCGAATAAACTAACTTTAACAGGGCAACATAGGCAAAATAGAAATGAACTTAGAGAAGCTAATGAACTTTAACATAAACCATAAACATAAAAATATATTAAAACTCAAAACGCTGGATCGAATGATCGTGATTGTGACGATGCAGCATCCGTTTTTGGTAAAGATGACTCACCTGCATGCAAATATGCCAGAAAAATGTCCACGGGGGGTTCGGAAAAATCACAAAATCTGCTTTGTATTTGTTGCCTGACCACGGTGACACAGGCAGTTGTGTCTGCGATTCAGCAGAGAATTTGTGCCACTGTTGTTTTACCGGTGGAAGAGAGAAAGCGACCTGTGTTTTTTCGGTAAAATCTCTGAGGCAATGAAGGCCCTTCGGTGGCGGAACAATTACACAATGGTGCAAATTAATAAATGCACATTAGCGGCACAACACAGGACTTCACCACAGGCTGGAAGGCAGAACATCCATTTTCCTGGAATTATACAGGCTGCAGAAGATGCTTTACTCTATGTTATGACTAAAACCTATTCCGCTATTCCAAATTAGTTTTGTCCATTTGCAGCTGTAATTTTATCAGCAGAGATGCGGATGCATTACACTTAAACCGTCAAAGAACCAAAACATAAAAAAATAAAATCTCCCACGGTGTACTATTTAAATTTTTGCTTCTAGGCATTTTGTCCTGTGGTTTTAAGAAAGTGGATTTGTGTTTTCTCCCCAGTTTATTGCTCGCTTTAAACAACCTAGCATCAGGTATTAAAAGCAGTGCTTTCACATTAATTCCACTGCAGCTGTACTCGCTAATCAACAGTGAAGATGAAAACTAACAGCATGCACCAAATCAAGACGTGTATACAAGACTGCGAATTGGGATGTTTACATTATTCCAGTACAGGAGGAAAAAAAAAAAAGGGTAAATCCTTCTCTCAATCGTATAATTTTAAGGAGGATGTTTTATTATACAGGATGTGTGAGTGCTGCTTACTTGGTTGGAGGTTTGAGCCTCTTCTTCAGGCCCAGGTAACACTTCACATCCTTCAGTGGGATTGTTTTCTCGGCTTTAGCGCTCTGCAAAACCAAACCAAACACACTTTGAGCAGGTAAGGTGGCACAGCAAAGACTGCATTCAGCAACAAACACAGAGACACTCGTGGCCATTTTTATAGGTACACCTGTTCAGCTACTTGTCAATGCAAATATCTAATGAGCCAATGGTACCACACATGCTGGTCAGAGTATTTCAGACACTGCTGATCTGCTGGGGATTTTTCCCCCCCAACCATCTCTAGGGTTTACAGAGAATGGTCTGGAAATGAGAAAATACCAATATAACACGAGCGGCAGTTCTCGGGGAAAAAACGACGTCTTGATGTCAGAGGTCAGAGGAGAATGACCAGACAGCTTTGAACTGATAGGAAGGAAACAGTAGCTCAAATAGCCTCTCTTTATGGACATGAGCATCTCTGAATAAACAACACATTGAACCTTGAGGCACATGAAGACCCAACCAGTGACAGTTAACACTGAACAATAAAATGTGGAAAATGTTGCCTGGTCTGATAAGTGTCGATGTTACAGTCACATGGTAGGGTCAAACATCCTCCACAGTCACCAGATCTTAATCCAACACAGCACCTTTGGGATGTGGTGGAACAGGACATTCACATCATGAATGTTAAATATGCACCAAATGTGCGATGATGCCATGTCAACATGGGGCAAAATCTCTGACTTAAGGCAGTCCTGAAGGTAAAAAGGAGTCCAGGTCGGTACCAGCGAGACGTGCCTAATAAAGTGGCCAATGGGTGAACACTGTTCCTGAGTGATGGTGTTGAATAATGGTCAGGAAAGTGTTACTGCAGAACATAGACGATGGCACAGCAGAGCTCACCTTTGACATTTTGGATATAAAACCTCCTTCTTTTCTAATATTAGCAGGAACCTTTGTGATAATTCGTGTATAAATATTTGAGTTCTGGGCCAAACCGTGTTTTGTGAGGTCACTGTGACCTCGAACTATCAAATCAGTTCGCTTGAGTCTAAGAGAAAGCTTGCACCATACATGATTAAATTCCCTCCAGGTCCTCCCAGGATGAAGCGCTCAAAAGGATGAGACGGACGTGAGGCCAGAATGTGAGGTCGCATGTACATTGACCTTTGACAACCGTAATCTAATCAGTTTTTCCTCAAGCCAAAGTGAATGCTTATGTCAAATTTTAAGAATCCCCTCTAGGCATTCGACATATGTCGGATTCAAGACGATGGGCGGATGGTCAGATGGACTGACGGATGGACCAAAACATGATGCTCCCGACTGCCAGCTGTCACCAGAATGGAGGCGTACAAAGGAAAAACTGCATATTGTTTGGAATAATTATCTAAATTCAAGGGGGAGAAATAATTAAATTTACTGAAATAATTAAAACTACAATAAAATGCCAACAAGTGCCATTCCACAGAATCGCAACACAAATCATTACCGGCAAAAACCTCTTCTTCCAACTGACAAAGAACAAAGTGAAAGAGAACAAAGCGAGCGAAATCAAAGTTGTAGCTTTGCCTCTGACACCTACACATCACAACCCACCACACATTCAGTGTTTCATCCAGCATAATCTGCACTAAGTACAGACCTGGCAGTAATTGCAGAGGCCAAGGAATATCAATTAAGTTCCAGTAACACTTCTAATTTCCCCTGCATTTATGCAGTAATTAGCTACTCTGGTGCGACCTTAAAATAATTAAATAAATAAATGAAGCTTTCAGTGAAAGTACACCTCCCCGTACACACAGCGCCAACCTTATCCATTTCCCCCTCACCACCCAAGCCTACTGCCAGAACTACTGCACCCCCATCAATTATTAACACTTCTTCACACTCCTTTACGAATCCTATGTTTCTGCAGAAATGTGCTGAGAGGAAAAGCCCTCTAGGGAGCTCGGTCCTGCTGGTCGTCTCTCAAGCACGCGTCGCATTCTTTCCCTTTTAAAAAAAAATTTTCCTTCTTAATTTGAAAATTTGGAACCTTGAGACAAACACGTTGCCGGGGAGACGAAGCGCAGACCGGCTGGATTTTTGGTCTGTTTCGGTCGTAGTCGTATCGGCTCCATTCAAACACATTTCGGCTTTCTTGAGCAGCTCCATAACCTTTTAAATTACCCCGGGATTAATGGCGCACTCTGTTCGCCGGAGACACTGTGTTTCCATGGTGGCGAGTGTTTGCTGTAAATGTGACAGCAGATTAAGGCGAAAGTGTACTTACTTTGATATCCCTGTAGAGCAGCAGCTTCTCTGAATGAAGCACAACATACTTGTCCTGAAATTTGTGCCCCGACAGCAGTTTGGAGCATCCGTCACTGAACTTCAGATAGTCGCCTTTCAGAAAATGCTTCTGATCTGTTGTGAAACAGGGAAACGCTGTATTGGAAAACAGAGAATTCAAGGGGTTCTGGGTTCGCTCACAAATCTGTTGACCTGTACTTATTTTTAATGAATGCTTTTAATTCAGTAAAATATATGCAGGGTTGGTTGGATACTACCACCACACAAGCTGCACATTTTGTCCAAACTAAACTAAAACTGTACTCACTGAAGGGCATCTACCTGTTACTGTGTCTGCCTGCTCCAACTACATATCCATTCACTTTAGCTAACAAACTGTAACATGTTTGCATCTATAACCACGCACAAGTTTGAATTTTGGGGGATACAGTCAAATATATACATGACTTTTATCAATCACTATTTAATTACTTAGCTAACCACCTGTAGTTATTGTCCACTGTAATTTCATATACCTATATCCTTTTATATAATACTTACAGCTCTAACGCCATCAACTGTAATTAAATACATTGTACTTGTTTTTAAATGTTAACTCATTTATTTAGTGCAATGGTTTATTTATTTTATTGCTTTATTTTTAGCTGCCATTTTTACTCTGTTTAATTTTCATCAAACTATTTCCTATCAACTGCTTTAGCTTGATGTTTAGACCACTTATTAATTGTGGCTAATAGCAACAACACGGTTAGCATTAACTTCAAGCTATACTTACTTACACTCTGAATTGATTTAAATACAGCTTTAAATAATTTCCTTACATCACCCCTCCACCACCGTGCTTCACAGCTGGTATGAGGTGTTTGTGCTGATATGCAGTGTTTGGTTTCCTTCAAGTATTGTGCTGTGTATTATGGTCAAACATCTCCACTTTGTCCAAAGAACAGAAGTTTTGTGGTTTGTTTCGATGCAACTTTATAAACCTAAACTATGCTGCCATGTTCTTTTAAGAGAAAAGGGGCATCCTCTACCGAACCTGAAAACAGGCCATGCTTGTTGAGACTTTTTCTAAATGTTCTTTCATGAACTTTAACATTTAACAAGCTAATTGACTCCTGTAGAGTCTGACATTTAGCCCTTGAATGTTTCCACTTGTAAATAATCTAATAATCTCTCACTCTAGAATGATGGACTTCAAACTGGTTGGAAATGTCTTTATAACCCTTCCCAGAATGATGGGCAGCAACAATTGCTTCATTAAGATCGTTTCTGCTTAGCATTTTGTTAACACGCATCTGTTTGCTTCAGACCAGCAAACTTCAAGACTTCTGTTTTACCTTTCAATGCTCACACTTGCCGATGATGAGATGGTCAAGTGCACTTGAATAGCAGCACATGGCTGATACTTAACTATGGTAAATGGTAAATGGCCTGTATTTGTATAGCGCTTTTTCTAGTCCCTAAGGACCCCAAAGCGCTATAACTAAAATACTTTCTATGAAAGCAGTAAGACTTAGTTTTCTGGCTTTTTAAATAAATAAAGACACTTTTTGAGTTGTTCTTCATCAAAGAGTGTATGCACCCAATCTCAAAGCCTTCATTCATGTCCTGATATGCTAATCCAGGGGTAGGTAACTCCAGGCCTCCAGTGCTGGTGTCCTGCAAGTTTTAGATGCGTCCTTGATCCAACACAGTGATTCAAATTGCTAAATTACTAAAGGACACCTGTCTGACTGCTGAAGTTCTCCAGAGGCCTGGAACTAATCATTTGATTCAGGTGTGTTGACCCAGGGTGAGATCTAAAACCTGCAGGACACCGGCACTTCAGGCCTGGAGTTGCCTACCCCTGTGTTAATCATACAATTTCATTACTTTTATGAACAAATACTATGAACAAAAGTGTTGTACTTGTACTACCCTGGAGTAAAAGCACAAAAAAGCACAACATGGCTGGGTATTATGAGTTTAAACTAAACTATTATAATATAAAAAACAGTCATCAATAAATGAACAAATGAGCTGTTGAGGAATAACGATGATCTGAGAAATAGTAATGCTGGATAACAAGATATGGAACAGCTGCTTCTTCTTTTGTAACATCTACAGCATACTCTACCTTCCCCAAGAAGTTTGAAACCTACAAACTTCTTTATAACAAGAAAAGCAGAGCTGGGGTAGTCCAAGGAGCTCCACTCCAACACCTGCTCAAGAATCTTCTCACTGTGGTGCAACGGTCGCTCTGTTAAAAAAAATACATGAATTAATTAATAATAATTTAGCTCAGAAACAGAGAAATGATTAAAGCTAAAGTATGGCAACGATGGCAGGGATCTGAAGACAAAGTGGTCGCAAAAGTCTTTTGTGTTCTCTGATCTCACACGAACTATAAACACACAAAACAAAACCACATCATAAAATCCATGACAAACTCCAGTTAGCTAAATAACAAAATTATGTTGTTTCCCCCCCAGTTTCATCACAGAACAGATTAAATTATCTACAGCATATCAGGGCCTGATTATAAAAACACACTCATGTGCAAAATAGACCTATTATCTCTTCTTAATTGGCGAACAGGGTACATGCTATCAGCCAAAAAAAGGAAGATAATTTGTGTACCACCACCCCTGCTCCGATGCTTCCATCTCTACACTCCCCTGTTTTTCATAACCAAAGAAGGTTTTAAAAAAATAAATAAATAAAAAAAGGGAGGAAGGGAAAAAAAGAGCCACAATGGCATAACCTATTCATAACAGTGGGCTTATCTTCTCCCTGGAATCTCTGCAGGCCCAGGCCATGGAATTAGTTCCTCATTTCCCCACAAATATTAGCTCCCCTTTTCTGCTTATTGTCCTCGATAACAGTGTTTATCGGTAGCTATATTCCAAAATGGCTAATTAACGCACTTCCCCTCCCTCCTTTATGCTTTTACGAGCAAAACCTGTCACGCTACCGCCTTCGAAATCGCTTAACTATTTACTGTTCCACAGACATATTGTTTTGGCATAGAAAATATGCTGAACCTTCAGCAAATATATTCAGTATTCAACACACCTTCATTTTTAGAAGAGGACGGCTCGTCCTCTGTAACTTTGTGAAGAGCAAAACAAACACAAGAGTGAGGTGTAAACTTTCAGTGAACTGCTCCGTGACGTGCACGGGGGAGCGCAAGCTAAGCAACTTCGCGACAAAGCTCAACTTCGTCTGTAGGCCCCCGCCCCGTTCTTGACGTATACCGCGTTATGATCAAATGCAGCACGTGTAGTGCGTGAGGCGGCCTCCGTGCATATTAATGCAGGATGAGGTGGGTCATCTTTCTAGGTTGATCATGCAGGAAAGATGAAGGCAATTTATGACGTATGACGGTAAGGATGATTCATTTATGTGCATATCAAACTGACGATGCTTGGCTAATTTCCCTGCGTGCTGCCGCGTTCACAGGCGCCGGTTCATTAGAGATAGCATAATCTCTCACCAGGTCCTCGGATAAGAGGAAGTGTGATCTTTGTATGTGCCCCTAAATGGAAATGGCCACTTGAAAGGTGATGCAATGTTAATTGGACCGACGGAGAACGTGACGGCAGAAAAGTTTAGAGGGAAACTTTCATTTCATTTATAACGCAAGTTCACATTTTACTCGAAAAATTTGGAGGTCACACAGAAAAAGTGTCCTTTAGTTGTAATGCAGCAGGTGTATAAAAGTTTTAGCAGTCTGGAGTCAAAGCCAAATGATAGCACTGAGGAATGAAAGCAGAAGCTGGGTTAAAAGAAAAAGATGGGAAATTGCATATGATAATAACATCCATAGCATGTGTAAATTACCTCGTGACATTAACCGACGTTAATGTCAAAGGCAAAAGTCTTCACAAAGATCAGTGCGCATAAAAACTTCTGTCTTTCTGAATGTAGCATTTCAGTTAAAGAATAAATGACCTTTTCATCCCAACAAAAAGTACTTATTGCTAAAGAGGTGCTTCTTCAGTATTAGGCTATTTCCTTCAGATGGATTTTAAGAAGTCGCAATTAGTGAAGTGTTGTTGCACAAGTTTGGATAATCTGAGGGAAAGAGCTATATGTTATATTTAAAAGCGGATTAAAGTAACAGACAAGTTACAGTGGAGTGAGGTTCAATAGTTAGAGACATATTATACTCATTTCCAGCTGAATGCTTTTATTCTTGCGCTCTGCTGGGCCTTGATAAAGCCCCCTTAGATCGTCTACAATTTAAATCAAGCCAAACAAGAAACAGACATAAAATCTGATGATTGGCTAATTTCCCAGTGTGCACGGGTGTGTAAGTAGGTAGTGACTTCTCAAGCTATTACTCATGCCCACGCCATGTCTGCATACTGTGCTACATGTGCCGCACATAGTGACAAACTATGTGACTGCACCATTTACAAATCACAGCAAACCTCAGTATATATGCTGATGGCAAATATATACTGGCAAACCAACCAAGACTAAAAAATAAAATAAAAACTAAAAGTGACTTGTAAATAAGGCAGCAAATAAAAATACCTTCAAGTAAGTCGAGGACAAAAAAGCTTGCTTTCTATGCTTACTTCACAGGAAAAATAAACTTATGACTCATGACTTCGACACATTAAAGTGAAAAATAACAAAAAAGGACAATCTCCTTCTCACTAGGAAAGGCTGTTGGTTTGAAATGTTTCACATTCAACCAATTACAAGTAGCTGCTACAATCAATCGACATTGCGCAGGTAGGAGGCAACCAGTCTCAAAACAGTCTCCAAATAAGAGCAACTTGTCTGGGATATGTCTCTGTACAACAGGGAAACAGGAAATTGCCAAGTTGAACCCCTTCAGTCCCAAACTAACAGTAGACTTATTCTGTCTTATTATATGGAGTTTTTCCTTCCTACTGTCGCCAAGTGCTTGCATATCATCACATTGAAATGCCTAAGATAAAGTCCATTGGTATATTCAAACTCCTGTGAGTTTTTTGTGAAAATACTCAAACATTTCTAAGAAGGAAGTTTAGTGGTTAGTAACCTGACATACCTAGCTCTCCATTTTCAATGACTTCAAAGGTGGTCCAAAAGTCGTCGGCGTTAACGGCGACGTTCCTCATATTCAGCGCCGTTTCTGCAAGCTCAGTGGGCCGCATGCTGGGGGAGACCTACCATAAATGCATAAAGGGAAACGATCACACAAAGTAAGCAAACTGTGGATATAAAAGGTTAGATCAGGGGTGGGCAATTCCAGGCCTCGAGGGCCGGTGTCCTGCAGGTTTTAGATCTCACCTTGGGTCAACACACCTGAATCACATGATTAGTTCGTTACCAGGCCTCTGGAGAACTTCAGGACATGTTGAGGAGCTAATTTAGCCCTTTGAATCAGCTGTGTTGGTTCAAAAAACCTAAAACCTGCAGGGACACCGGCCCTCGAGGCCTGGAGTTGCCCACCCCTGGGTTAGATTATAACCTCTGTGGATCAGTCTCGATGCCTTCAACCATCTTTGTCTTGAAAGAGCCTTTCACTGCTTAACATACACAACTATCCGACTCAGTTATGTACACAGCGCACAGTTTACATATTTGACTCTTTATGAATGGCACTGAACTAAGGAAACGCGCCACTTTCCTCCACAGAGACAAATGAAGAATTAATGTTAAACTGCGCTGCTTAGTGCTGCTCTGTAACCCTGTGCGCCCTTGGAGCCCTGCTGTCACCCTGTTAACAAACACAAAAACAATAAAAAACAATCCTCCCTAACTTGCACAGGCCTATATGCCTCATAAAATGCAATTACTCAGACAATTAAGTCAAATGTCTCTTGATTAGTTCGTATGTGCGGTACTCCCATCAGGTTAAACCACGGACGTCTCGGCCCAATTCCATCATCAACCCTCGCCTCTCAGTCTTTCCACCCTCATCCTTTCTCCAGCTTCACCTGCCTCCATCCCCTTCCCCATTTTTTCACCTCACTACCAGGACCTTTGGGAAAGCAGGTGCACATACACACACAAATACACACCAGGAGCAGTACGGATATACACACTCTCACCTTGATTAAGCAGCATTTCTCTGGCTCTCTCTTCTCCAGGTACACCTCAAAGATCAAGTCCCCAGCCGGAGCAAACTGAGGAGGGAAAAACAGAGGCAAAAAGAGTCACATCAGCTGAATCCCAACATCGATGAAGCACGATTAATTGGAATCATTTTCTTCTAAATTTCTGCTCCTGTGTGGCATGAATGTAAATGGAGAGAAAGGCGAGAAATGGTTGGAGGATTTTTGAAAAAGCAAAGGTCGTTTTCAGAGCCGGAGGCAAACAGAATCCCGGTAGCGCTAATGGAATGCAAAACCCGGCTAAATAAAGAGAACATGTGTGAGACAGGCGCGCTCGGAAAGGTGGGAGAAAAAGACGAATGTTTCACCTACACCGCAACCGAAATGCTTTCCTCAGGTGTTAACTTTAAGTGTGCTGTCAGTTTAAAAATATTGTGAAGAAGCACCTAAAGATATTTTCATGTGTTATTATGGCAATGGAGAAAAAAAACAACACAAGTGTGAGAATGAACCCAGCAGAGAGAGAGATGGGTTTTCAGCCACTGACTTTTTTTTTGTATCCTTTGAGTCTTGCGCGAGTGAAATACCACCACACAAAAGAAAAGGAAATATGTTTATTTGGGGTAAAAGCCTTTACAAAATGCTGCTGTTTGGGAAGTGAAACCTGACATTTTTAAATCAGAATGCTATGTGTTTATTCACCTTTCTTTGTATACATTTATTTGAAAATGTAGGTGGTTTTAAAGGCAGATATTTACTCTGCTGGTATTCATATACAGCATATACAGTGATATCTATTCCCATGGCATACATCTGAACGCTGAACAAAACAGCTCTCGGTTGTCGTCATCGTTTCCAATCTTTACACAGCTCAGATTACACTAATCTCCAGCTATTCTGTTCTTGGGTCCTACTTGATTAGTTTCGAATGATTCACAGTTCAAAAATATTTATCTTATACTGGACCTCAGTGCAACCCCTCAGTTCATAAACAGCATTTACCCTTTGAGGCTACCCTCCATTTATACCAAGCCTCTTGTGTTTGGCTGTGCTTTACAAACAGAGTTTTAAGAAGCAGGTTTGTCGGGCTTCAGTCAGCTAAGAACAAGAAAATGAGGATATAGTTAACACAAGCTCGTCAAAACTAGATGATCGAAGTTTGTAAAATGTTACCTAGTCTGATGAGCAGTGTTGGTCAAGTTACTCGAAAAAAGTAATCAGTAACTAATTACTGATTACTTCCCCCAAAAAGTAATCCCGTTACTTTACTGATTACTTATTTTCAAAAGTAATTAATTACTTAGTTACTTTTTAAAAACACGATTTACAACCTGAATAGGTGATAAAGCGATAGATCTTTCAGCCCAATTCTACTTTTTCTGTATAATCCATCATACAAAATGTAATCAAATGGAAAAGTCTCTTTTTAAAACTTGTTTCATTAGTTTTAACTTTATGCATCAAGCAAAAATTAAATTATATGCCTTGAAGAAATTTGTTTAACATTTAAACCTATTTTCTGCACATTCCAGCATATAAAATAAAAAATTTTTTGGCGTTTACACTCCCTCTTTCACATAGATGCAAGTAAAACACAGCAAAAAATCTTCTTGATGCATTCTCAATCATCCAGGAAAGTAAATCTCCAAAAGTTAATTCTGTTCATCTGGACGTAGCGTTTTGTGGGAGAAACATTTCATGAGAATTTGCATATTTATGATTAAGCAACTGACCTCCCAGCCCAGTGTTCCTTCAGTGGGCTGGTTTCAGTCATTATGCAAATGTCCTGTTTATAAGATTTGGAAAAACCTGCAGTCAGCTGAGACTGAAGAAGTCACTTGGATGAGTGACGGAACGTTTCTCTCACAAAACTCTACCTCCAGATGAACAGAATCAAATTTTGGAGACAGCAAAAAATAAATAAAATCAAAGATTCAATGGCACTAAGTTCAGTCGCTCTTAAATCTATTTTCCCGTTTGGCAGGAGTAGAGCAGGCAGAGATTTGCCCGGTGCCATAGCGGTCATGTCGGTGGGAGGATCCGGGGGTTTCTCTGTGAATTTCACATTCCTGTCGCGGCTTGCTAGGTGCTTGCTCAGATTTAAAGGTAAATTTTTCCCAGTAGAAAGAAGTTTTCTTCCCACGCAGACTGTACAGCGGACACTATAACGTTTTTGTCAACTAAAACTTAAAGAAATGTCAGTACGTCCACGCTTTAAACGCTGCAAGGCCGTACTCTCTCCAACACTCCACATTATCCATTTTCGATCTAACACATCTGTTGTTGCCACAGACGTCGCACATGCTTACGTCGTTGTCATGAGGCACTCTCACAAACAAAATCATGATGGTTTAGTAATGCAGTAACGCAGGGTGCTTACGGGAAAGTAACACGAATCTAATTACAATAGTAATCCCTTACATCAGCGGTCCCCAACCACCACGGACCGGTTTATGCCCGACAATATTTTCATGGACCGGACTTTAAGGTGTCGCGGATAAATACAACAAAATAAAACTAGTACCGGTACTGAAAAAAAGAAGATTTATTCATAACACGTGTGAAAAGACCCAGGAAAACCGAGTTAACGATAAAAACGGTAACAAAATCACGCTGAAAACCGATAAAAACCCTGAAAACCATACATTTCACACCTGAGCCTCAACTCTCGCGGCCCGGTACCAAACGACTCACGGACCGGTACCGGTTGGGGACCGCTGCCTTACATTACTTGTTACTTGAAAAAAGTAATTGGCTTACAGTAACATGTGACTAATGCGTTACTGCCCATCTCTGGTGGTGAACCTTCCCAGGAGTGACCAACCTACCAAAAATACTCCAAGAGCATCAATGGCTCATTCAGGAGGTCACAAAAAACGCAGAACATCTGAAGAACTGCCTCACTTGTCTCAGTTAAAGTCAGACTTCATGATTAAACCATAACAAAGAGACTGGGAAAAAATGGCATCCACTGGAAAGTTCTAAGAAGAAAACCACTGCTGACCAAAAAGAACACAAAGGCGCATCTCAAAAAACATCTTCATGATTCCCAAGACTTCTGGGAAATATTTGGTGGACTGACGAGACAAAAGCTGAACTTGTTGGAAGGCTTGATTCCTGTTACATCTGGAGTAAAACTAACTAACTAAACAAACTAACGTACGTTCCATAGTTGATGGAAACATGAGTTCTGTTCTCTACCAGGAAATCCATGTCTAATTCATGCCTTGAATCTGAAGAGCAGTTGGGTTATTGCAGCAGGGCAATAATCCAGACACACTATTAGTCGACCTCTGAATGGCCTAAAAAAAAGAAACCCCAAAAAACAAAAACGAAGGTTCAGGAGTGGCCTAGTCAAAGTGTGGACTTAAACCTGTTTGAGATGTTTTGGTATGACCTTAAACAGCCTGTTCATGATGAAAAATCCTCCAATGTGTCTGAATTAAAGTAATTCTGCAGAATAGAGTGGGCCAAAATTCCTCCACAGTGATGTGAAAGACTCACTGCCAGTTATCACAAATGCTTGATTACAGTTCTTGCTGCCAAGGGTGGCACAACCAGTTATTAGGTTTAGGGGGCAATTATTTTTTCCACACAAGGCCAGGTAGGTTTGGATAGTTTTTCTGCCTTAATAAACAAAATCATCATTTAAAAACTGAATTTTGTGTTTACTCAGGTTGTTTTTGCGTAATATTAAAATTTGATTGATGATGTGAAACATGCACGTTTCAGAAATAATCCCCGTAACTCTGACTTTCATTTTTCACTTGCAGAAACACAAAGAGAAGAAGAGAGTTTTCTAATTCAATGTAAGCTATGCAAAATTTAAAAAAAAGAGTTTTTAAATCTGCCCGACATCAAAGAGGTCAAATTCCAAGTAATGTCTCGCTTGTCGGTACAAATCACAGCACCTTTCTCCAAGTGCTGGAGCTTTAATCCTCTGCTCATCAAATTAAAAAGCGGCAGTGTGAAAAACTAAAAAAGTTAAGTGAAAACGTGAAAATGAATTTATATTTTTGAGATACAGGGTCATAGCTATAGCACCTAATCTGGATTTCTGGCAATGCAGCGGGAGCAGTAATCTGTCTCAAGAGAATTAACAAGTAAGTGGGCACGACAAGGGTTCTTTTTTTTTTTTTTAGATATCTTGAAATTACAGTTACTTTTCTTTTGTCATTTTAATGTGCAGGTGAACTGAGGTCCGTTATTGGCTTTGTGCTGGGAGAACTATCGCATTGAAAAGAGGGAAGGAAGCCACTTCTGACTCCTGTGGCCCTCAAATGACACAAAAATTACAGTCATTCAAACCAATGGAGCTAAAGCTGTAATTGTGAAAATGTCACACACAGATATGGGGCCATCTTGCTTTCCTCCTTCCCCTTCATTGTTGTGTATTGGGAGGAATACCGGGACCACTTTACAAACATTACAGCTGTGGGCTGCAAGATAATTAAAGGGGAAAAAACATGCTGATTACTGTAGAGAAAAGGAAAGGGAAGTTTAAATGTTTTAAAGGGTTTTAAGGAGATTATGGAGTAAAGAATGAAGCCATTTCTAATCTCTCTAACCAAAGCCGTCCTCGGCCTGGCTGTAAATGCAAGCATCGATTTTTCAAGTGGCACTTCGAATTTAAAAGGCATGACAATGTCTCGCACCTCATTATATCACTGATTTACTCACTCCCTAAGTCGAACTATACTATCCACTTGCTGGCTGTCTTCTTGCCATTCTTCCTTGAAGACGAAACAGATGAGGTCAGAACCTTCACCTGGAGGGCCCCGAGTCCTCTGAGACAATCGTCTCGTGGTTTTCGAGTGAAAACCCAAGAGCCATTTGTCCTGCAAAGCTTCTTATTCATACTTCAGCTTCTGCCTAGGCTACACACACAGTCGCTCAGTTTCTTCTTTAGACTACAGCCATGCTGGCTGACGCTGTTCAAAGCTCTTTATGATGAAGTGACATGAAAACTGGCATCAACACCCCAGTCAGTTTGGTGATTTATCCTACCCCCAATACTTTAGAAGCTATATTCCATTAGATTCAGTTGTACATTATACTTTAGTGCTAATTAACAAAGGTCAGCATGCTCTTATAAAAGTTTTTTGTGAAATCTACTCCTGTGTCTCAGGAGCTTTATTTAGCTGCTTCTCTTTTTAAAGGTTTGCTCGACTTTGCAGAGATGGAAGCAGCACCCACCCGTGCAGGATAAAAATGAATTCTCACATTCTTGAGTTTGTTGATTAATTCCACTCCAGAGGAATCTATAGACTGAATGTTGATGGTTTTTATAATAATGCAACATTATCCTGAAACAGTTGCTGTTTAGAAAAAAAACAGGATGAATGATGACCGTTGCATTTAATAGAGTTCTGCCCTTTTTGTAACAACCCAGAGCTGAAAAGCAGTTTTTACCATTTTCAGATAGCCTGTTGAAAAAAAAATGCAACTGAAGTGCTGTTTTTTACATGATGGCTTATGTAAAGCTGAGCCACACATCACTATAAATACACCCCATGCATACATAACCACAAGAGTGGCATTTATCTGTGGGTGGGAAATCTCATCTTTACCAACTTTTTCCATATTTCTAGAAGCGGAGTGCAAGTGGAAGGCGATTCTGCATAACAAAGATCAATATTATGGACATTTCAGTTTACTGCTTTAAACTTTTCACCTTCGTATCAGGCACAGACCGACTTCAATTGCTCTTTAGCTTTTGCTCCACGGTCTGGCAGTGGCCTTTACAGCAATGCCAGCGAGTGATCATAAACGATCAAACAGAGTCAGTAAAACGAGATGGTTAATGTAACATCAAATGACTTTAAGCAAAGTTTAACTTTGCTAAAATTTCAAATCATCCCTAAAATAAACATACCTATTATCTCCGCAGAGAAATGTTCTCCACGCTGACTTGTAATTACACTAAATAATTGCTCTTAATGAAAAAACTAATAACTTTCCTATTTTAAGACCTCCGAATTCACATCCAAAATCAAAACCTCATCCCAATTTTCACCTCCGACGGCTTTCTAATAGCACTTGCTTTCCACTGAGTAACTCTTTTGCCCCCGAGCAGCCGACGTTGTTGTGAAACCCTACGGACAAGGCTGAGGGAGGAAGGCAGGGGCAGAAAGGAGCGCTCATAAACAACTTATTTCAGATTTCAACAACAGCAGCGGCATGTGATTTCATCTTTTTTTTTCCTCCACAGTTATCTGAACCAAATGTTTTTCTCGGCTGAGGCATCCAGGCATAAAGTACCTGCTGTAAAGGTTAACAGGAACAAAGCCCTTTTTCCTCACCCGCCTGCTCCTGCCTCTCCCTTCATTTCTGCCAGAAAAACAGGAAACCTGTTCAAACGAATCCCACATTTTAGAGTCCCTGACGCACGCAGGCAAATCAATGCACACACACACACACACACACACACACACACACTGAACACCCATTTGTGATTTCCATTCGGGTTCTGCGGGTCGACCTACTGTCGTGTCCTTCTTGTCGTTCCAGCGTGTGATGAAGCTATTCTCTCTCTCCATCTGTTGCACCTGGTCTTCACTGACCTGTTGAAAAAGCATCACAAAACACACACGTACACACACACACAAACACACGTCAATTCAGACTGAGCCAGAGAAAAGTTTCTAATCAGGTAAACCGCACTTGAGAAACATCATCTTGCTTGATAGAATCCTGCAGCCATTTTTGATGGTCATATTAATTTCAGCGCTTAAATGCGATACGTGGAGGAGCAGATTAAACCTGGGAAAGAGTGAGCTGCTCAGCTAACACTTCTAAAACCTCATTTTGAAAGAGAAAGTTGGCTGCGATGAGTGCTCGACACGGAATACTCTCTTCTTTCATAAAGCTCTGTGTGGGAAATGACTTTTTTTTCTCCAATCTAACTTTTTTTTAAAACATCATTATCATTTTCAGAGAACAATTTCCTTTGTTGGAGTTATACGAGTGGCAGCAAAGATTGGGGTTGAAAATAAAATCCAAACAAACTGGGAAACTCATCGCGTGTATGTGTGTGTGTTTAGGCCTGATAATGGGCGCCGTCGACAGAAGCCACCACAGAACTGGTGCTTTAATTGGCGAAGCGTCTCTCGTTTTATGGTCACACTGAGCGTATTCGGCGCTATTGGGCTCATGATTGGTTGGGCTTAATGGCTATTTGTCATGCGAATGATGGCGTCGCCAACCGATTTGGAGTGAATGAACCTCCTTTTACGTTAGAAAAAGAGGGATCTGGGCGTTCCGAAGGGAATTAACAGTCAGTCGGTGCTGCGTATCCCATAAGCCAGGCAGCTCTCCAAGGGTAACATTGATCCTGAGCTCCCCCCCCTCTTTCCCATCCACACATCAGCAAAGTCAAGCCTGTTGTGGAGATTTGGCAACAACACTTCAGCTCCCCAGATGGTTGTAAGAGAGTGTAAATAAAGTCATGCCTGCAGCTTGGTTTAGATATGCAATATGGTAATATCTGGATACTTTGTTTCGGTTTTTTTACTCAGCCATTGATTGTCTACACATTCATTACAGCTTCTATCCTGTGTTACAGGATGAATGATAAACACGTCTGACACTGACTGTGCGAAACATGACAGCGTTCGCAGGATAAGATCTATATTTTTCCGACTCTTCACCCAGTTTTCAAATGAAGGCCAGATTTTTATCCTTAAAAAAAAAAAGAAAGAAAACACCACGCTGCCTTCACGGTGTGGAGAATCCCCAAAATATAGGAATATCATGGGAATACACCCAGTTGGCAACCAGTTAATTGAAGTGCCTTACTGCAAAGAGAGGCGCCACACATGAGTTACACTCAAGTGTGACTCTAATTAATTGCATTATGTTGTCAATCTGTCTGCATTTATAAATTAGATGATAATTACTTGCAAACCTTGGCCAATATGTCTGAGAGTGACTGCTGTCGGTCCGAGTTGGACAACGGTTACCTGGAGCATGTTGGTCCAACTAGGCAACCTGGGTAATTACCCTCCAATCAAAAGTGTGTCATGGTAACTACTGTGTGAAGACATTCAATGCAATCACATGGAAACCACTGATATTTCTTAGTCGCAAGGAGGTCGCGGACAAGTTTTAACTTGAGAGACTGATTCATGTAAGATGCATCATATGAAATGTAAACTCCCGTGGGTTTGAAGCTCAGCTCAAAGCAAAGCAGGTCTAAAAAGTGAGGATGTCTTTGCTTCTTCTACAGTTCAAAGTCCTCTGCAATGTTTAAAAGTACAAACGATAAATTCTCTATATATATTAAACCACAAATACAAAGCTATTTATGTCATTTATTACCAGTGTCTGACTATTATTAATCTGCTAGGGTACCTTGTTGTTAATTTGAGGTATAAGAGGATCGTATGGAGGCATTTGCATTTCTTTATATTGTTTATCAAGCAGTCCAGATTATAATCACGTGAGCCAGGCACGAAAGATAAACAGCACATTAACTTTAATCACAGTTAAAAGTTGTTTAACCCAAGAAACAAGAGAAAAAAATGGCCGTTTAGTCCTAAAGATAGCATCAGAGATATTGGTGATACCAGAAAGACTCCACACATATAGAAGAGAGCTTTACAAGGCTGGCCTCGTTTTTTACTTCAACCAAACATGTCCTGAACCACAGAGTCCACTGTTACTTTTCTGTTCTAGGTGACCTGTTTTTCCTTTATTAATATAATCTGTGCCACCTGTCTGTGCAGCGTACATTTGGCAATAACACAACGCAGCAATAACCTGAGTTGAATATTACTGAATGTACCAACCGTCTTGTTTTTGTTTTTTGGTTGTTGTTTTTTTTTATAACTTGTGCAATGTGTGTTTATGTGATAAAAACTGGATGTTATCTAAGGTACAAGAGGAAGATCCATGTCAAGCAGCTGAGCTCAGTCCAATCGGTTTTTCGTGGTTATCAACACAAAAGAAAAAAAACCCCCACAAGAACATTTCAGACTTACACTGAAGAGCGTAATGTAGTTGCTGATTAGGTCGTGGACCACACTAATTTCCTGTGTGGTTTGTCCTCGAGTCTGGAACAGGCAGGAGGAGAAAACGGAAGCCAGTTTTTCACTTGGCATGCGGTTCAGGTGGGAGCATTGCTGGATCCTGAATAACAGAGAGAAACATGCTTAGAAAATCCCTTAATGTACCCGCAGGTCGACACGAGTGGCTCATATCTTTTGCTGAATCGCTCTCGTGGCCTCTAAAGCCCACTCATACTACTCACTGTGGCACGAGCACACAGAGAGCTGAATGAAACATCGGGCCTCGCTCCAAATTAAGCATCAAGTCAATTAAGTCTTCTCTAAACAATCTATATCAAAAGGAGCTAAATCTATCCACTGCAGGTTTCCAAGGGAAATCGAGTGAATGATACACGAAGACAGCAGTGTGCTTCTATTTAAAAAACAACATAAGAGGTGGAAGAAGGGGTTTTTGTAGCTGCAGCACAGTATCAAAGTTGTGCAAGCTTTTTCTTTGGTTCTGTATCTTCTGTGTTGTTTGTCTCTGCATTTCCACTCCAGGTAAAACAAACAGTAAATCAGTAGTTTCAGTCCACAACGCACGAGACGGCTGTAATTTATTACTAGAAATCTCCACAGTTCAAATGATCCAGAGGTGAAGAAGTAGAGAATTCAGCGGTGTAACCAACTGAGGGAAAAATATATGATTTTCATGAAAAGAAACAAAAAGCAGCGCACAGCCAGAAATAGCGCCGCTCGTTTTGTAGACCTCAGCTATGTGTTTGCTAATTGCCTCTGAGTCTTTAATAATGAGCCACACAATCTGTCTCAGTTGAAAAATGCCAGCGCTCGCTAGAAACAATATGGAATTGATTCATCGCTTTCAACCGAAGGACACTGTTACTTCACAAAAACAATCCTTTTCTTCTCAGCTTGGTTTGTTTTTCCCCCACAACAACTTTTCAGTGCATTCACTGTTCAGCAAACAGACTTAATTTGAAATAATATTTAACAGTATTGGTCAGATGGAGGGGAAAAAAGCAAACAAAAAAAACGGGGGTCATTAGGGGAATAGAGGAAACAATGCAGCTAATCAGCAGGCGACAAGCAGCAACCAGAGGGCCGCTCGGGCTCATGACCTTTGAACCGCTATGCTCATTTTGTCTGTGATGCAGAGCAGCCTCTGCAGAGCCACACTTGTTTCATCAGCAACAAGGTCAGATAAGAACATTAGGACAACTTACAAATGCATAATATTGCAAAGTAGCTATCAAAGAATGGGTTTTTAATCCCAATTAGTGCCAACAAGTTGCTGCAAAAGTGGTCGAACTAATTAGGCTGGTTTTGAACTTTGCTGCAGTAAGTAAGAGAAAAACTTGTGCATCACGAAGATGCTGGGTCTTGCAGATGTGACCCTGGTTCTCCTTTGACTTTACACTGCGTGAAGATGTTTTCGTGTCATATCCATCTGCTAACAACCAAAAGATGACTAACTGCTACATTGTGCTTGGATATGCTGCCGGGCGCAGGAGACAGAAGTTGATACCAGTGATAAAAAGTGAAACAATGGATGGCAAAACTTAAGTTGTCTGGCACTCAACTTTGCCTGTGTGTGCCGTGGGCATTTTTTGTTACTGATAACCAGTGTTGGGTAAGTTACTTTAAAATAGTAACTTAGTTACATTACTAGTTACT